TCATTCTTGATGTAAGTTATGTCCAAATTTGGGTTTGGGCCTAGATGGTGTAAATGGATTATGGGGTGTGTTCGGAACTGTCATTATTCTGTGCTAGTGAATGGGACAATGGTGGGTTTCTTTCCAGCCATAAGGGGAACAAGACAGGGGGACCCTCTATCTCCCTTCCTATTCACTCTGGTCATTGATGTCCTAGGGAGATTGATTCATAGAGCAGATTCTAGGGACCCTCTATCTCCCCCTCACCCACTTACAGTTTGCAGATGACAATTCTGTTTTGTGAAGGTGGGAATATGAGGTACATTAGGAACATAAAGTTGGTGATATGACTTTTTGAACAAATGTCCAACCTAAAGGTGAATTTTGAGAAAAGTTGTGTAGTGGGTGTGAATTTGGAGGAGGGTGAGATCAGGGAAAGTGCAGAAATGTTGGGTTGTGAAGTTTCAGGATGGCCATTGAATTACCTAGGGATGCCTTTGGGTGATTACCCAAAGAAAGAGAGTGTCTGGAAAGATTTGAAAAGAGACTTGCCTCTTGGAAGAAGAATTACCTTTCCCTTGGAGGGAGGATTACACTGATTAAGGCTACTTTAGCTTACTTACCTATTTATTTCCTTTTGGTATTCAAAATCCCAGCAAAGGTATTTAACAGATTGGAGAAGATGATGAGAGATTTCCTATGGGAGTTGGGGGAGGATAAAAGGGACCATAGGGTGAGTTGGGAGGTGGTGACCAGAAGCAAAAATCTAGGTGGATTGGGGCTTGGGAACATTAGGAAAAGGAATTTGGCTCTTTTGGGGAAATGGCTGTGGAGACTCCCAATAGAAAAGGAGAGACTATGGGCTAAAGTAGTGGTAAGCATACATGGGCTGGAGCAAAATGGATGGGATGTTGGGATCCGAGCTAGGACCACAAGTGTGTCACCTTGGAAAGCCATTCACGATCTGCTTCGAACTTTCTCCCCTCTCATTAGGTATGATTTGAACTCAGGTAACGCCATAAAATTCTGGGAACAAATTTGGGTGGGGAATGCCCCTCTTAAGGACTTGTTTCCTTCTTTGTATGCCCTTTCTGAATTAAAAAACGAGACGGTTTCTTCTTTCATTACCCCTTCATCTTCATCTTTTTGGTTTGGGTGGAATTTGGGTTTGAAAAGGTCAGAAGGGCTTTATGAGGCTCTTAGTGACTCTTGGAAGATACGTGTGTTTGTCTTCCTCCTATAAATTTTCTACTAATGATTTAATGAAAGTGTTATTGATCAAAAAAAAAAAAAGGTCAGAAGGGCTGTTAGAGATACAGACTTGGATAATATCTTGAGCCTCCTTGGTATCCTTGATAATGTTTTCTTGGACCCTATTAAGCTGGACTCTAGAACATGGACCCCCACTCCCACTGGCTCATTTTCTTGTGCCTCTTTTTTCAAAGTATTAAGTCAGCCCCCTAGTCCTGTTCCCCCTCACTTCCCGGTTAATGAGGTTTGGTGCAAACCAATTCTCCCTAGAGTTGGTAGTTTTTGCTGGGAAGCTTTTTTGGAAAGAACCAATACTGGTGATATGCTCCAAAAGAAGAGACCCAAGACATGTTTATCCCCTCACTGGTGTGTTCTCCGTAAAGTGGATGGGGAGTTAAGATCAGCTGGGTGAAAAGATCAACTAACTCTTTTGCTGATGGGTTAGCTAAGCAAGGAGTGGAGAGGGAGTCAATATTTTGGGCACAAGTGTAATTTTTTCCTTTTTCTGTTCTTGGGAGCTCAAGCTCCAGTTGGAAGATAAGAAAGTTTATCTTCCTCGTAATTATTTTTGTGATTAATTAATAAATGTGGTTATTGATAAAAAAAAAGATGGGAGTGGTTGGAAAGAGGGAGAGAGAGGAACAGAAATGTGTTTTGAAGACAAGCGTTGGAAGTAGGGGTGATCATGGGCTGGGCTGAGTTTAGTACCAATGATAAGGGCTTTAAGCTAGGCTTGAGCCTGACTTGGTCCCCACCTTGGGCCTAGATTCAAACCCAAGCCCGGCCCTAAATGGGCTTGGGCCAGGCTTATAGACTTTCCAAGCTTAATGAGTAATGACTTTTGGTCCATGACATCGAATAATAAAAATATACTAATTTTAAATTTTAAATTTTAAATTTTAAATTAAATAACAATACACAAGCCAAAGTTAAATTGGGCTTGACTAGTCTTTAGGCCTATGGCACAAAAGATAAGGCATGGGCCTCATTGAATTGCTAGGCTTGATTTGGCTTGGCTTACCTATCCTTTTATAGATGAAGGAAAGGCTTTCATTCCCATTCTTGAGCAATGTGGGGCTTGAAACAACACTAAATAGTTGGTGCAACTATTGAGTGTTTTTCCAAGTCCCATATTGCTTGGGGAATGAGAATGAGGGCCTTGCCTTCATCTATTATAAGGCCTTGCTTAGGAGGAGAATTCTCATACTTGAATTGAATGAAGTGCTGACACGTGTCCATTGATAAATATTTATTTATATGTTAAAATAAAACTCAACTTTTATATTATATATATAATAATACATTTAATATAAAATAAAATATACTTTTTTTGATAAGAAACGGTAACTTTCATTAATGATATTAAAAAGAGAGTACAGTTATCACCACCCAAAGGATGGGTGGAAAATCAGAACAAAATTCTTGCAAACAAGCCCAAAATAAAGTCTCCCTAATAACTCCTTGCTTAGCTAATGTTTCAGCCCTGCCATTTGCTGACCTTCTTACTCAATTAAATTGCACCCCAAGCTCCCTTGCTAAGCTAATTATCTCTTAGAGGCTGTCTAAGTGACCATACTCCCAAGTTTCTAGATTACATCCACCCTATTACCAGCTTGGAGTCTCCTTCCTCTTCTAAGTGCTGTATACCCCATTGTTTCGCCAATTTCAGTCCTTGAAGTAAGGCCATGACTTCTGCCCTCAAAGAATCTCCCACCCCAATTGAGCATGAGTAAAGGGCCAAAACTCTTCCTTTCTCATTTCTGAAGACACCCCCAACTCTCAACGGGCCTGGATTACCTAAGGAGCTTCCGTCAAAGTTTAATTTCGCTTTGAACTGAGATGGTGGTGACCAAACCTCTTAAATTACAAGGGAAAAGGAAGAGGATACAACTATAGAGCTCCAATTTCTAACTAAGTCAGTTGAGGAGAAGTCCTTGAAAAGTTGCTGCACTTTCAACTAATGAAGAATCTTGATGGTAATGACCTCTACAAGTGCTTCTTTGGGTTTTTCTTCTCCTTGGAAAATCCTATTGTTTCTTTCTTCCCAAATCGAAAGGATAGCTGCTCTTGTTATTCTCCACATTACCCTGCCTCTTTACTTTGGTTGCCGGAAGAAGCTAGAGTCAAAGAGATTCAGCACACACGAGGGGTGATTCCATCTACAACCAAAAAGAGAAGATAACCAATCCCACAAATAAGAAGCAAAAGGACAAGAAGTCAAAAGATGAGTCACTGTCTCACCATTTCATAAGCAAAGGCATCATACATGTAGGGAAAGGCACCAATTTGGCCTTTTTCTTTGAAGTACATCAATGGTGTTGATCTTTTCGAGAGCCACTTCCCAACAAAAAGCCTTAATCTTTTGTGGAATAGGTGCACACCATACTTCTTTAGCAGGAAAGGAGATAGGCACAATAGAAGGCTGAATTAGGGCATTGAAAAAAGAGGAGCAAGAGAAAACCCCTGAAGAGGATTCTGTCCAACTTCTACTGTCTGGGCAAGAATGATCTAGGAAAACTGCATTCAACATAGAGAACAATTCATCTGCACAAGCCAACTCTGAATCCCTCAATCATCTTCTCAAACCCAAGTCCTAGGTCCCCTCAGATACACAAAAAGAGGAAATGACTTTGAATTTATCTAGGGAAAGAGAATACATTATCGGGAATCTGTCTTTAAGGGGGGTGTTCCCAAACCAAAGATCCTCCCAAAACAGAATTTTATTACCTGAGCACAGATCAAATCTGATGAAAGGGCGAAAGTAAGGCAAGACTCCAGCAATGGCTTTCCAAGGGGAGGAGTAAGTAGCCCTAGGGCCGACACCAGCATCCCATCTATTAGCTGCCATCCTGTGAATACTTTCCACCACCAAGTGTCACAAATTGTCCTGCTCTAGGGGAAACCTCCACAACCACTTTCTTAACAATGCTACATTTCTTAATCTAATATTGTCAATGCCTAGGCCCCCCGAAGTCCTTTTTCTTAATCTAATATTGCCAATCCCTAGTGAGATAATTTCTCTTCCACCTTGCTAGCTTCTTAGTAAACCTTTCTAAAACTAGGTACAAAAAACTTTTAGTTCTAAGATTTCCCCCTAGGGGCAAACCTAAATATAACATAGGCCAACCACTAACCTCACAGCCCAAAGACCTAGCCACCAATTGCACCTCATCTTCTCGTAAATTTACTCCTGCTACACAACTCTTATTCCAATTGTGTATATATAACATGTAAAATATCATACATATATTGTAATATATAAAAATATGTATATCCTGGTCTGGGCCTGCACACAGAAACTTGGGCCTGGAAATTTATGGGCCGAGCCGAGATGGGTTTCTGGGCTGGGCCAAGAATGATCACCCGTAGTTGGAAGGTTAAAAAGTTTGTGGCAGTCAATGGCAAGTTGTTGCTGATTGGGTTTTTATTCTTCCTGAAACTGCACAAGTCTGCTGTTCAGATTTAGGAGTTAATTTTAGGGTTGTTCTTGAAATGCAAATGTTGATTTATCCTTCCTCGGTGTTGTCTTAACACCTGAGCAGATTATGATTTTCTTTTTACTATAAAAAAAGAAGTGAAGCATCAAATTCTGATATTCTCTATTACAGAATTCAATTTTGATTTTAGGTAATCAGAATCTCAACTTCTTTGTCAGAATTGTATTTACATTCTCGACAATTCCCCCTTTTCACTTTTCTCCTTAAAGTAATTCTCACTATTTGTTGTTTTTTGGCATAATTCTTTTGCTTTCTTCATATGCTGTGATGTAGGTTACTTTTATTTGAACATTTGAGTATATAAAGAAGAAAACTGCTTCTTAGCAAATGAAGATTCAAGGAGACATAAGTGTTTATCATCTTATCAACAAGCTCCAGCGTAGGTATCAGATATTCTATCATGCGAAGGGGTGGTTGTCACTTTCTCAGTTTCGCATTTCTGTGGCTGGTATTTTGGGTGTGGGTGGTTTGTTTTTGGCTATTCGAGATGGTAAGTTGGGAAACTTCCGTAGCTTGCCATGGTTGTCTGAGGCAAAAGATGGTTCGGAGAAGTTGTATTTTGTAGCTGGATTACAAAATCTTGGCAACAGTTGCTTTCTAAATGTAGTGTTACAGGTAAAATCCATCCAAAGAATTGGTTTATCTTATTTAATCCTTACATTGGGTTTTATCACTGTTCATGGTGTCAAAAGATGTCTTTCTGTTTTGCACAGGCTCTTGCTAGTTGTTCTTGCTTTCTTCCTTTTCTCCAGAAAATAATTGAGGAAGAAGATTTGTTGGCTAAGAACATGCCCCTTACTGTTGCTTTGGTTGCTTTATTAGAAGGTACCATTAGTTGTTGTGAATTAAGTGAATATTTGAAATTGTAAAACTTATGTTGATTGAAGTTTTTTTAGTACCTACATTTTACTAAAGCAATGTCAATTTAAGAATTAAATTCTGAGTATACCATATTCAGTTATGCCCCTTTCTGTAGTGGAATGGTGGAATGGGATTTTTTTGGTACCTATATACAAACTTCAATTTGTCTAGCAGCCAAATACAATTGCCTAACAAAGGATAATCTAAATAGGAGGGGCATGGGCCCTTTATATGGTGAGATGCCTGAAGAGTCCAGTTACCTCTTCCTACTTTGTAATTTAATGGGAAAGATATGGCATCTTTGTCAGCAAGTGATTTCCTTTAAATGGTGCATGCTGGGTTCTGTTTTCCAGTTTCTTTCCCAATGGCAAGCAATGGGAATGACAAAGAAGGGCAAGGTCATTTGGGCAACTATGAATTTAGCTTGAGAGGAACTGTCACATTTTTGAATCTAAGATGCACACCGAAAATTCTGTCGTAAATCAAGCTTTTCATTTCCTTCATTCTTGACTCTTCACCTCTTCCCAACTTTTCTTATTATTTTCGAAGATTCTTCTATTCTTTCCTTCCAAACTTCCCAACACACTGCAAATGGAATGCAGCTCCACATCAGCTTGACCTTAGGACCACTCTCAACTCTTGGCCAAAGTCCAAAAGGGGGTTTAGATGCTTCTCTTGTTTTCTGACCCTTTTTTTGGAGATTTTTCTCATGAAGTCTAATATACAAAATCTCATCATGCATGGAGGTTTTGTATAGAACTTCTTTATATGTCATACAATCATACTTTACCTTTCCGAGAAAAAGCACATATAATATAATTTGGATAAGGCTTTGTTAAGTTAAGTTGAGCATATTGCTATCTTATTCTAATTGTTTTTTCTATTTAGGGGTGCCTCTGTAAGTTGTGGATGGTGCATATAATGGGACTTGATATTATTCACCTGTATGATGGCTGTTTCTTAGTCATTTAAGATGTGGTGGCTTCTTTGACACATTATTTCATCAAATGATAAAAACAAAATACAAGGCAATATTATTTGATTAAGTTCTCCAGAGTTATTCTTGAACATAGGGAGCTGGTAAAGAAAGGCCCAAGATGGAAAATTGGTATTAAGGAATCAATCCAGTTTTGGTTTGATAACTGAGCCTCTAAACCAAGTGGTTAACCCCCAATTGATAGTCAAGAATGCAAACTTAGTGAATTTATATCGAAGGAGAGTCTAGGATGGAACAAAGAGGAACTTCTAGAAAAAACCCTAGCTCCCTTATGGGAAAAGATTGTCATCCCCATCCCATCTACTCCAAAAGAGAATGAATTAATTTGGAACCCCGATTTGAAAGGAAAGTATACTACCAAATCAGCCTACACCCTAATGACTGGATTTTTAGAAAGGGAGTGGAGAAGCAATTTCCCAGAAAATTGGAAACTAATATGTCCCCCAAAACTTAGTGTCTTAATGTATTTGCTTTTTAATAAAAGATTATTGGATAGAACAAGACTCAGAAGATGGGGCAAAGATTGGATGCAGATTGTCCTTTTTGTGGAAATGAAGAGGATACTAATAATTTGTTCCTTCATTGTCGAGAGGTCTAACACATATGGATGTAGATTGTCGTATGTATTTTTGGCTTTCACAAGATTGCTAAGGACTTGAAAGCAACGACCAACTTACTCAACAGATAAAGGAACTAATTCAAAACCCGAATGGAGGAGATGTTGTTAGACAGTGTATGCCCTTAACTTCAATCAAATTGATGTACAGATGCATTTGTTGTAAATGAATAAAAGTACATTATTGTTTCATGTTGATATTGGTATGTTTCTATGTAATTACCCCTTAAATTGGACACTTATGAGACTCGTGTTAGTTTAGAATGTTCTCAGCAGTTGGATACACTTGGGGAGTTTATCCTGCCAAGGCTGACACTGATGTGCTACCAAAGTTGGGGCAACTTGTCTCAGCTGCTAGGGTTAGACTCGAAGCACATGCAATGTGTGTTTAGATGAAATACTGAACTTGGACCATTTTCCAGTTATGCCCTGGACCTTGGAGATTAATGGGAAAAACTGGAAAGTTACACAACCGCTAAACTTGATTATGGTATTGCACTAGGTATTAGATTGGACTGTCTTGGATATGCCAATCAGTGAGATCCATCAAGGGTCAAAACCTGGGTATGATGGGGCAGTCTGAGAATTCATTTGAGCGGGTGATCATAGTGATAGGAACGGCCTCTTTGTCGGGCAAAGTGAATGATAGGGCTTACACTCTCTCTAATGGAAACTTAAACTGCTAGTAGTGGATTTCAATTGTGTTTAAGATTTGGTTTTGCAAAACATATTTATAAGATATATTATTAATGTTTTATGAAAAATGTTTGCAAAATGTTTTTATTCCCGGGATCCATTCGAGTAGAGAGTGTGACATTGCACCTTGTAGGTAGGGGAGAGGTACTTCTCCGTCGGGAAGTGTTGTGATCATTATGGGCCGAGAGGTTAAGTGTAAGAGACCATTATAGGGCTGATTACTTGATGGGCTTTATCTTACTTATGTCCATTATCCTTGGATCTTCATAGGATGGCTGAACTCAAGGTTCATTTAAGTGTAAATGTTGGGTCCATATTGAGCCCATATTGATGTGCTCAGGGGTTCATTACGTTTAGCAGTGAATTTGGCCAGACCTTTTTTGTAGAGGCTGAGCCGAACCCATGTGGACTTATGTGAGGTCATTGTGAGATCCCACGCCATACAAATCAGGCCTAAGTTGGCCATGCAACACCCTTGGGTCATGAGCCTTATAGTTGGTGGGCCTAAGGCCCATAATTAATATGCTTAATTAAGTTGGCACATGACAAATCAATGAGGCGAATCTAGGTATGGAGAACCTAATCTTATAAGAAGATAAGGTATATATCTAATTAGAGTTCAGATCTATTAGATCTGGATTATCTCCTAATCTAGCTCTATAAGAGATTATAAGAGAGGAGGGGGTGGACTAGTCTAGGACAACTTCATATTTTGTAGTTTCTGGTTCTCTCTGCATCCTTGTCTCCTAGTTTTTCCCAGTTTAACACTTCAACATCAGCTATCTGGAACAAATATAGATAAGTTTTTCTTTTGATTTTTGCAAGAAAAATTCAAGGGATATCAGGCTCATCATCGGATCATCCTCAGTTTGATTTAAGCAGTTGGATCTCATTTTTCCAGAACTGTGTTGCTGAACCGGCTTTAGGAATACACTGCGCCATCTTCAGTGGAGTCTGGTTGTAGGACTGATTTGGGCGTGAACTTCCACCTTGGGATATGCGTTTGTGGTATCCATATCAGGTATACACCTCCCTCTTTATTTGGTTTCAAATCTGGTCTAGTTCAGCGCAAGACCGATCTTGAAAGATGCAGTTTTTCAAAACATAGGGTATTCGATTCCTAGAAGGAGTAGGAAATTTTTGAAATTTCGCCCAACCATATAACATGGTTCGGCCATCCATATGATGGATCCTAACCCTTCCAACAGGTGTATCTTTTTGAAGCCCCTGAAATTACCTTCCTATTCAACTGTGATGTGTTTTTGGAACTGTGGCCAGAACTAAATACTAAATCCTTTGAGTTGGTGACCTCTAGATTTTCTAGATTCAGCTATAATGGTGCACGATCTAGAGCTCCTAGCTCCTAGCTCCTAGCTAGATGACAGCTCGGATGTCGGTTGCTTGGCTGGTGAGTCGAGCTACAAGGAGAGAAAGCATAGAGAACTCGGGGTGGTTAACCTGGCATGGTCACTCCGATGCTTTAAGTTAGTATCGTACTTTGGTTCCGAGCTGAAAGCTTGAATGCAAGTAGGCTAGTGAGCAAGTAATCGCATGTACCTGAGTCTTGGGGGTTGATGCCCTTATATAGTTGGGCTGTCGTGGGTCTCGCGAAATGCTCCCGGAATCCTCAGCCCGCGATGTAGGGATCCGTTTCACTTTGGAAGGAGGGTAACGTATTAGTTAATAAGGCTTACCGTTTCCCTCCAAACCCCGCACTGAGGCATTCACCTCGGCAGGGTGAAACTCTGTGGCTTGTGCTGAGGTCCCCACCTCGACCCTGGCAGACTCTTTACTCTGATCAAATAGGCTGCCCGTGCTAATGCTAGACATGCCGAGCTACTTGGAAAGACAGATAGGAATTGGAAAGCAAAGACAAAACAAACTCACCAAGAAGATTGAAGGAAGCGAAATGACCTCGGACGCAAAGGCAACTAACACCGACCCATAAGACTGAAGCGTGACCTCAACAAACTCGAGCACACAATATATGGTGAGAAAAATGGGCCCCTTTGGCCCTTATTTATAGCCACTGCGATCGGGACTCAGCGGTCGAGATTTACACGACCCGACGACTCATGAAAACCGGTTGCACGTCTCCCGAGATCGAAATCGATTGAGCACGTGTCTTGACGTCCGCGGAGTTTATAAACGGCGTGGCGTCCGCGCGTACCTGGTACGCAATCTAGGGTATTCCCTAGTCTAGCCAAACAGGTCATGAAGGTCCGACCGAAGAGTTGCCCTCCAAACCGCCTGGAAGTCGTGCCAAATCCACCCGGGCTCGCCATGAACTCCCCGCACCGGATCAGGACCCCTGGCATAGGGAGTGGGGGGCAATTGATGAGGGGTGATTTGGCCTAACCTAATAAGTAAAGGACATGTGGATGCGGCCCGCCAGCCAGACGACAAATCAGCATGTGGTGCCACGTCAATAGATCGGGGGACCTCGGGTGCTTGGTCACTTCGGATCCGGAGCACCTCGGTACCCACATATGCCAAGGTGCCACATAACCGAACCTAGAAGCTTGCCAGTTGTCTCTGAATTTCTTGGAATCGCGCCGCGTAACTGTAGGCTTTATCCTCACCCCGCCCGAACCGGAGGGAAACGGTAAGCCTTATTAACTAAGACGTTACTCTCCTTCCAAAGCGGAATGGATCCCTACGTCGTGGGCCGAGGATTCCGGGAGCGTTTCGCGAGACCCACGGCAGCCCAGCTATATAAGGGCATCAACCCCCAAGACTTAGGTACGCGCGATTACTTGCTCACTAGCCTACTTGCATTCAAGATTTCAGCTTGCAACCAGAGTATGATACTGACTTAAGCATCGGAGCGACCTCACCGGGTTAGCCACCCCGGGTTCTCTGATCCTTTGTCTTGCAGCTTAGTCCATCTTGCTGCGTGACTAGTGTCCAGGTAATCTTCCAGCTAGGAGCTTCCAGATCATGCACTATCAAGCTACAACAAGCAATTTTTTTGGGTCTCGTGATGATTATGTGCTGTGGTGAGTAGCAGTTTCCACGATGAAGGCCTTTTTATGTTGTTTAATTTAGTTGCAGGAAATGAAGACAACAACTTCCCAACAGTCTGCAGTTGTGTTTCTAACCCAAGAAGTGGTTGTTTCATCTTCCACTGCATTATGTTCTTTAGTTTGAATTAGCGGCTGGTTCAGGTTATAAGGTTGGGTTACTGGTGTGGAACAGAAAAATAGAGAAGAGATTAAGAGAATAAAGAGAGAACTTGAGGAGAATGAGAGGTTAAGGAGTAGAGAAGAGAAGAGAAGAGAAGGGAAAGAAAGAGAAAGACAATGAAGGGGATAGGGGCGGTGCTGACTTTAACATGTCTGGCTGCAACAGCAGGAAATAGAAAAGTAAGAAAGAGAGGAGGAAGGAAGAATAAGGAGAAGGAAAAGAAGGGGGAGTTAGAGAAAAAAGAGGCGGTGGGAGAAAAGAGAGGGGAACAACGATAGAGGAAAAGAAATTGGGGTGAGACAGCTTCTGTTAAGGTTCTGTTGCTGAAAACAGAATTTGGGGAAGAAGGAACAAGGAGAAAGAAAGAGAAGAGAAGGAAAGAAGAAAAGAGAGAGAGAGAGAGAGAGAGAGAGAGAGAAAGAAAGTGATGGTGACTGTTGTAAGGTTGGGTTGCAGATTGGAGATAAGAGAGAAAGGAGGAGAAGAAGAAAGACCAAGGAGGAGACTAACGACTGACCTTTGTTCAGTTGGTGGATAGAGACAAAGATAGGAGCCAGTTGAGCTGCAGCTACTTTGGTACAATGATTGAATTGGGCAGAGGCGTGGGACTTAGCCTTGGCTCTGATACCAAATTGATGCAGCACCACGGCACCACCTATTAGAAGAAAAGAGGAAGACGAGAAGCAGCAGAGAGAGAAAACCAGTCAAAGACGAGAAGAATTTGAAAATTTTTATTTCTCAAAACATAATGTTAGGCTTTATAAGAAATTTAAAATTGAGAATTACAAGTAAACCCCTACTAAATATAAAAATAACAAATAACCCCTTACTAAAATGAAATATTGCAAATGAATCCAACAAAAAAACTTTACAAATGAACCCAAATCCTACATTAAGCAAAATAAATCCTAAACTAATGTCACCTGTGCCTAATGTAAGTGCAAAACATGTGGGGCACATCAATCTCAATGTGATCTCCATCATGAACCTTACTGATCAAAAAAATAAAAAGGACTCCATCATGAACCTTTTGTTCTCCCAAGGCAACCTGGGGTGTTTGCAAAGCTTCAAGTGAGAAATTGGAGAAAGGATTTCTAATTGTCCTTTTCTCCCTTCTTACTTTTTTCTCTTTCATTTTATTTGCATAAAGGGTCTGTACCTGGCTTATCTAATCTAGCAAACTCCCTTTTACTTATCTTCTCTTGTGGGTTAAATGTTGAATTGTGAGAGTGTACTACTTGCCCCCCTGATAGTGGTTGAATTACTACTATGATGTAATTTATTTCCCCAATTTCTCAGGGTTTTCCCATTGCATAGCCTCTAAATTTTTACACCCAATGAAAAAGCAATGGGCATCACTTGACCTTGAAGCATATTACTGGAAATTACTGGAAAAGCCTTTTCTCAGTTTGTGCATCTGGTTAATCTTTATTGGCTTCATGTTCTAGCATAGAGCTGCATCAAAAGATCTCTTGGACTTCCTATCTTTACCACTACTTGTTACTCCCTTGACATCCTGCGGTAAAAATTGCTTTCTCCTGTCACTTTACCTTCGAAATTGAAAGTTCTCACTCTGTAGTTCTTGTGAGGAATCATCCCCCTAATACTATGTAAGCCCTTTCAATTGGTGGTTATAATTTCCTATTCTCCTCATGCCTCTTGACATCATCCATACTTGAACCATTGGAGCATAATTGTTTTTAATGACATCTGTCTTCTTTAATGTCCTTTATGTTGTCTTTGCTAGACTGTTTGAGGATTTTGGGCATAATATTAGGTCAATCCTTGTTGCAACCTATTGATAAAAGAATCGTTTCAATCTCTCAAGTCAGGAAGGCTGATTTAGAGCAGGGGATCTTCCTTTGTTAAATCTATCAAATGGTGGGACCTGGGCTATTGCACCCATGACACATGGGGAGCTCAATCTTGGGCTAGGCTTCTTACATTTCACCATATATTGGTGGTACCTTTTGGTACATTATTTTCTTTATAGATGATGAATTTCTTAAATTGTTATGCATGTTCCCTCAGAAACCTTATTTTTGAATTCTTATTGTATTTAATAAGATGGGATTCTTCCTTGGTGGGTTTTTGATGATTTAATAATGCTTGTCTAATTCTTTACTAGTTTTTTCAACAGATTTGACAGCATAGGAGTCACCCAATTAACAGAAGTCATATTTTCTGCAGAGTTGTGTATTGTCCGGGATGGAAGAATGGTATTGAGTCCACGGAGAGTGATGTTTGCCATGAACCAATATATTCCTAACTTTAATTTAACAAGTCAGCAGGTGTGTTCGTCTGGTAATTTAGCATCTCTTATGACAATTCTTTTTTCAACACTATATCAATGTTTTAATCTGCCATTCAATTTCAAATGTAGGATGCAGCAGAGGCATTCCTTCACCTCTTATCCTCTTTAAGGGAGGAATTCTTAGAAGGCTATGTTCCACATTACAGTTCACTAGCAGATGTCTTGGCTCTTCCTCTTGATAGAATTTCTGTTATAAAGACAGGGGAAGACCAGAATGAAAAGAAAAGGTGGCAACAACACTACCTCGGACCATTTGATGGAATTCTTGGCAGTATTTTAACTTGTAAAAGTTGTTCATTTCAGGTAGACTGTCTACTTAGCTTGCAAATTGTCTTGTGGAAAAAAGTCTAAAGTGCCTGTTGAGTTTAGGGGTGCCTTAGCTAAAGTGAGGGGGCAATTATAGTTGAACACTTGGAGTTCTTAATAAAGAAAAAATGGCCTGATAATTCAATGCTAACTGCTGAATTCATCACATTCTTTTTAATGATCTAGAAGAAAGAATGGCAAATGAACTTAAAAAGTACTGATTTGATGGTTACTATTCGAGTGGGATTCAAAGAATAATGTTCTATCCAATTTTATTTACACCATCTTTACCTATATTCTTCCTATGATATTCTAAATTTCTTTTCTTGTTTGCATTCTAGGTGTGCATCATTTATCCCTTTTCATGTATTTGCAGCTCTCGATGGATTTTGAGTTTTTCCACAGCTTGAATCTCTTGCCAGTACTGGCTGGTAGTGCAACCATTGTATGTCCACTGGAGGTTTCACCATTTTAAGGATTTCTGTATGTTTTAATCCCCTGCTCGTTTTTCTATTGTTATCTTGAAAGTTTGTGCATAATGAGTTTGTTATTGTGTCTTGCCTTTTGCAAATATTCTCAGATGGCTGGATGTAGTGTTGAGGATTGCCTGAAGCAGTTCACCATTGCCGAGCACATAGAAAACTATCATTGCAACCGCTGTTGGCATATTTCTGCACAGAAATATTTATCTTCAACAGCTGGAAATGAGGTATTTACCTTATGTTATGGAATGTGCACTTTGCATTAAGAGATATCTAAGGTGCCAATTTATTTTAAATAAGTAAACCTCTACTTTCCCCAAATTTCTTAAATTAAAAGTGGCAATTGCTTGCTTCTTCCATTGGAATTCTCTTCCACCACTATACTGTTATAATGCAATGATTGCCCCTATCTAAAATGTTGCAACACAGCCATCAGTTCTCCCCTTGCTAAGACTCCATATCCAACCTGACTAGAGAATAAAGCAAATACTATGGATGATGATGGTGAATGAAGTCTCTTTGTTATTTCTATTATTTTAACAGATTGAAATGAAAGACTCAAAATATGTTCAGGTGAAGATATCATGGATGGAGAGTCAATTAGTTTGTCTGCCCGAAGGAAGAAAAGGTGCAATCTAGAGGGAGATTAGTAGTATCTTGCAGGAGTTCTTGAACTTGCAGAAGGAAGAGAATTCTCCAGAGAAGTCTACAGAAGAAGCATTGAGTTATGCTCTGGAGAAGGAAGTGGGTGTAGGTCTGATAGTGAATGGTATGGGTGTTGGGAAGATAACTTAGTGTGGATAAGGAAGAAAGGGAAAAGAAATTAGTAGCTGTTGTGAAGAAGAAACCAGGGGACTGCAGGAGAATAGCAGAAGACCTAATTAAAATATTTGAAATTGAAGGGTCCTGTATTGATTACTCCTTTTGAAGATTGCAAAGCTTTGATTGACTTGCTGGAGGATAAAGTGGAAGTAAGGGCACTTAACTTTCAGTCAGCAAAGGAAATGCTTACAATCATGAAGTGGTCCCCTGTGTCAAACACGAAGGACTTGGAGGTGATGGATGGGATCACTAATAGGATTGCTGGTTTGCCTTTCCATTTGGGGAAGAAAAAGGTTTTTGAGTCCATTGTTTCTTTGTGTAAGGCCTGGCTTGATGGTGTTTCCATATTAGACCTTTGATCAATAGCCATCAGATTGAGTGGAGTTAAACCAGAAGAAATCTCAAGGAGGATTGAAGTCTTTGCTAATAATTGCTTCTACTCAGCCTGGCTTCTATCATTGTTTTGATCATAATTCACAAAAAAAGAACTTGAGTAGAATTAGGATTTCCCTATTCAGGATGTATAAGTATACACTATGCCTGCTAAAACCCCTTAATTATATTCCTTAGAGGAAATCCCCTTTGATTTTGATTTTATGTGAAAGAGCTACTTTGTAAGAATTAAACCCAATAACAGGTATAAGCAGTCCCATCAACTTGGACTCTTGGTGGGTTATACCCATGAGCGGGTCCCATAATTGGAAGATAGGTCATGGGACCCATACACCATTGGGTACTTATGCATTTTAAACTTACACATCTTAACAGTGAGTCTCGTTAATCGATAAAAAGTGGGATCCACTATACTGATTTGGTAGTGGGCATGGCCCACTTTAATGTTTTAACAGTGGGCCCCACAAATAAATGGGACCCACTATACTAATCTGATAGTGGACATGACCCAATTTTATATTTTAAATTTAATTATTTTAACAATGGGCCCCACCGATGGGTGGGACTCGCTATGATGACTTGCTAGTGGGTGTGGCCCACCTTAATGTTTTAAACTTGAATATTTTAATAGTGGGCCTCACTGATGGGTGGGGTCACTATGATGACTTGATAGTGGGTGTGGCCCACTTTGACATTTTATACTTGAATATTTTAACAGTGGGCCCTGTTGACAGGTGGGACCCACTAGGTTGATTTGATAGTGGGTGTGGCCCACTTTAATGTTTTATACTGAATATTTTAACATTGGGCCCCGTTGACAGGTGGGACCCACTAGGTTGATTTGGTAGTGGGTGTGGCCCACTTTAATGTTTTAAACTTGAATATTTTTATAGTGGACCCCACTGACAAGTGGGACCCACTATGCTGGTTGTGCACTTGGATATTTAAATAGTGGGCCCCACTATTATATGCTGTTTAAATAGTGAACATGGCCCACTTTAAACTTAAATGTTCCAGTTATGGTGGGTGGGACCCACTAAATCTGCATTACTGTTATAACAGTAGATCTACTTGAATTTGGTGGATAGGATTCACCGATTGCAACACTGTAATTTGTTGTTGCAAGTAGGGGTGCTCACAGTCAGGTTAATCAAACCGTGGGGCTTTTTCTTGGACCGAACTGGTACTACCAGTTTTTGGAAAACCAGTAACCGAAACCGAACCGAAACCAGTCAGTTAACCGGTTGACTGGTTCGGTTCGTTGGTTTTTCGATTTTTTAATTTTAATAATATATATTATAAAAATATATATAAATATATATTAAAAATTATAAATATATATAAAATATTATATTTTAATTAATAAATAATATGTCATACATTATAAATATATTTATATATATAATGCATATTTATTAATTTATAGTATATAAAAAATATAAAAATATATATAAAATATATATAATATACATAAATGTATATAAAATGTATAGAAAATATGCATACCGGTCGGTTCGGTTAACTGTCGGTTTTCTATATTGGTTAACTAAAACCGAACCGGTACCTTCGGTTTTTTAAAAACACCAAACCGAAACCGAACCAATCGGTTTGGTTTCGGTCGGTTTTTCGGTTTTTTTTGCTCACCTCTAGTTGCAAGATAAGATGGGGACCCACCAACTCATGACAATTCACGACTGTCAATGGTGGAGTCAAATTATATATTTCTTTATGACTGAGGTGGATATGATCCACCAAATGAGTTTTAACTTGTACTGTGATTTGGTGTTGCAAGGTAAGATGGGGACCCACCAACTCATGATAGTTCACAACTGTCAATGGTGGAGTCAAATTATATATTTCTTTATGACTGAGGTAGATAGGATCCACCGAATGAATTTTTAACTTATATTGTGATTTGGTGTTGCAAAGTAAGATGGGGACCCACCAACTCATGACAGTTCACAACTGTCAATGGTGGAGTCAAATTATATATTTCTTTATGACTGAGGTGGATAGGATCCGCCTAATGAATTTTTAACTTATATTGTAATTTGTTTACAGGTGGCAAGCCAACATCTCTGTCCCATTTTCAGGTGTATTGATAGTGCACTGGTTCGCCTACTGAAAGTTCTTTGGGGTGGATAGTATGCACCCATCATCTCCCCAGTATTAATTAATTTTTTTTGTGTGGTGGATAGGATCCACTGGATGTATAAGAAAACAGTTGATATAAGACTTGGAGTTTAATAGGACTAGAGAGAGAGAGAGAGAGAGAGAGAGAGAGAAAGAGAGAGATAAGATAAGATAAAGATTAAAACTGGAAAGTATTGGAAGGGAGAGAGGAAGAGATCAGAAGGAAAGGAAGAAAATATTACCTGTCTTTATCCTCCTCTTCTTCAATCAAAATCGTAGCTCCTATTTTATTTCCTTTCTCTTCTGTCCTTTCTTTCTTCTCTCCTTGTCCTCTTATCTTCTGGCCCTTTTTTTTGCCGCCCATTTTCTTCTCCTCCCTCCCTTATATAGAGGACACAGTTATGGGTAGAGAGGTTAGAGCAACCTCCCCACTCTTCATACGTGGTGTGGTTGCTTAACTCCCCCCATAACCAGAATAAATTAAATTTTAATGTATGTGAAGTGGGCCGGCTGTCAAATCTGGCCCCTCAAGCCTTATATTTTTTTTACATCATATATATTATAATTTTTAATCCTAAACAATCGTCAATTGAAGGTAGCATGTGGAAGGAGTCCGGAAGGGAGGAGGAAGAGAGGGTAGAGGAAGAATACCTAGGTGGAGATCATCGATTGGCTAAAGTCAAATTGGCTGAGACTTGCACATTTTTGGAAGGTCTGAAAAAGAAGGATGTAAAAGGTATGCTAGTAGGGGAAAGTCTTGAGCTTGTAAGACAAGGCAAAGGAGGTGGGAGTAGGACCTATGCCAAAGTTCTGACAAATGGAGTAAATACAAAGGCAGTTGCTCAAGAGATAGCTGGGTTGGTGGATACCTTGACTAATGTTGGGCCAAATGTTGAGCCATCCAAGCCAATGAGGGATGAATTGGGGATAACACATGGTGCAGGGGATTATTTTAGAAAAAAATATCATAGTTGGGCTGGTGTTATTAAAGGCCGACTCTCATGGTTGGGCTAAGAAGTCTTTTTATCAACAACGAAGTGGTTCGAAGAAGGAAAAATAGGCGGACATTAAAAATCAGAGAAGAAAAAAGAGCCACCCTTCATGTAGTTGAGGAGGTGATTGGATGGCTGAAGGGATTTATGGATGGGGTGACACTCTCAACTAAAAAACAAGGTTGGAAGAGTTCAGTGGGAGCAGATGGTAAAAGATTTGAAGTTGAGATGAGGAGAAATGTGAAGGGTTGGTTTGTTGTGATCATTGAAATATTCGGTGACAACAGAAAACAGATGCTATGCGTTCCAGAGGGTAGAAAGAGAACAGGGTGGAGATTCTTTGCGGATTTACTACAGGAGTTTCTGTTGAAAGTGGTAGAGAGACAAACTCCAAAACATTGCAATGGGTGAGAGGTTTGCAACAAGGAGAATGGCAACGAGAATTCAAAGGAAGAAAAATAAGAAAAAGGGAGAGACAGAGGCTTTAATGTGTAGCGAGACTGTAAATCGAAAGGTGCTTTTAGATGGGGAAAAAGGAGTTGGGTAAAAGAAGGTAATCATAAAAACAGACAAAAAAGTTAAAGATTGGGGGAGAATCCTGGAGGCAATCGTGAAGAAATTGAACTTAAAAGTTTCTGTGGATATTAAGCCTTTCGATTGATAAAAAAATATTAAGCGTTTTGACGATTTGAAGCCCGTGCTATTTGGAGTCGATGAAGAAGTCAAGCTCCCTTTCCCAAATTGGTGGAGTCTTCAGTTGGCAGGATTAGGGTTGGAGTGCTGGCATATGTCTTGTAATCATAATCTGATCCCTGAAGGAATTCTTAGGCTTCAGCTTGTGGGACTCCCTTTTAATCTCTGGAATGAGGAATTTTTGGAAAAGATGA